ATGCAATGTGACGAATATGAGACGAGCGATCGCCTCGTCATGGAGGAAGGGGATCCATTGTAGTAGGGTGGTATGTGCTGTGTGAGAAGCTGGGCATCAGCATCGCGTGTCACGCGACTTTACGTGTAATTCCGCTTCAAGGATCGCAGCGGACTCATTCACTTCGAGTTCGAAGCATGAGCGCAGAGTCGCAAGAGTCAAGGCCAACACTCACCTCGTTCTCAACCCATTCGTCTGTGAGCTGGGAAATGGCCGGCGCGGTGGTACATCCTCATAAGCAGGAGGGAGCGGTCCGGATGTTCCTCCGATATCACTATGTCTGTCGTCCCAGTACTCGCTCACATGTACGCTCCTCGCGTCCACTTCCCTTACGGGCATCTGATCTGTTAGAAGACATTGATTCCATTGATCACTGAGGGTTAAAGAGGTTGCGGCTCACGAGCGAGCACCAGAGCGGACGCTACCAAGCCATCCAAAGTCCCGGACGGCCTAGCCCCCCTATTTAGCGAGACACTCGGGAAAGACGAGGTGTCACCTGAAACATGTGTTAGTATCCGTGCGTGAAACCTGCATGTAAAGTTGTATCGATACCTTGTATGCCTCTTTTGTCGTCCACCGTGACGAAGGTGCTCGGAGGCGAACTACGGGGACCTTCAATGGAACGCATATCGTCTGCCTGTACCACATGCACAGCGCTCGCTCGCTTGCGTCTATGCCAGAGAAGGGCCGCAAGTGCCAGGAATACGAGTGACAGCAAGCATGCCACGATCCCTCCCACGGCACCATGGGAAAGAGCGGAAGAGAGGGGCTGTACGGACACCTGGGGAGGGGGTGTAGGTGTCGGACTGGGAGCCGGAGGAAAGCTGGGTATGGAAGCAGAGGACGAGGACGATGATTCAGCGGTGACCGAAGTTATGTTTTCAGTGATAGTGTTGAGTATTGTGACATCTTGCGAAAGAGTGAATATATCGACGGAGGTCGAAGGAACAGGAATTCCTGCGGGAATCGCGACTACAGCAGTGGGGATTGGGGAAGCGCTGCTGGAGGTAGCATGCAGCTGAGATGAGGTATCCCCCTGGGTGCCCGTGGTCGAGGAACGGCTCGACGTGTGTAATGTGGTGGTCGAGGAGGGACTCGACGAATGTGATGTCTTAGTGGGTGTGTGCGACGATGGTGTGAGATTGTGTTGTCCGGTAGAAAGAGGGTCCAGAATAGACGGGAAGAATGGACCGAAAAGGACATCACGAGCGTTCCTATGGTGGGACATAGTAAAGCCTGCTCATAGAAGTCGAGAAAGCGAGAGGACGGGATCTGTGCCTAAGGGTGTGATATTTGAGTATGCGAGAACGTGGGCACACGCGGCGGGTTTGAAGCACATCAGCACCGGCGCCGCCATTCATGCCTTGTGTTCTATGTCAATCGTCTCCATTGAAAAGGCGAAAACACCATGGAAAGGCAGCTAGAGTTTCCTAACAAGAGTCTTCCGCTAGCGACAGCCAGTTTGCCACACGACGGGGGCGGGACCAAGTGACAACTTGGTCATCAGTCTGATGATGTTGGACAGGTGGTACGGGATGGTTGGGTTTCAGTGAGACATACCGTTCGATATTCGGGTGACAGTAACATACCTCTACATCCATGTAAGTCATCAAAGCGGCCATCCTCTCGGAACAAGATGGCAGAATGCAACAACGCGATGTCTTGCGGGACTCAAACTGAGAAGGACCTCAAAGAAGTTAACGGATGTCAAAAACGCACGGCGAAAGTAGACTGAAAATAGAAGAGCTGATGAGCGCCGGGTCTCAGCACTTGCCATTGACGTGAAAGTTGGTATACCGAGAGATGACAAGGGGGGAGCGAGGCTTGTAGCTTGGACTGACCGGGCCGACATCTGTGTGTGATATATACATTGGTATAGGGCCAAGAATACATGCTGAGAAGCTACTTGAAATTACTGAGCGTGTAGTAGCGTAGGACGAATTGTCCAAAATGGTGAATGTGGGGATGTCGGGGACAGGGGAATGAACTCGAAGGGGTATTCGACCATCAGAGCGTGGAGGGCGGGAGGCTTAGTAGGTTGCTGATCCCGCCCCTCCACCGAACCTGTATCTGTGGGTACCAGTACGCCGAGTACGTCCGCCGAAGCAGTTGCAGCAGAGAATGTCGAAGATGATATCAAATATGGTCACAATGATCTGGGAGACAAACTTCTGTGAGCGATAACCAGACGGGCAAAACGATAATGGCCACTGACCGTCACAATGACGCTGACAATGATCATGATGATGTCTGCGATAGCAGAGACAACGGCGTTGATAGCCGCGCCGATAGCAGAGATGATGGCGCCCTACAGCTGGTTGCGAAATTTATGCCCGACCAACTCCGACGCAGTTTCGACCACGGAAAAATCGAAAAAATCGAAAAAATCAAACAATTCATGCACTCGCGATTCTGCTCCCCTGTGTTCTATAAACTTTCCATAACCCCTATAGCAGCGAGTACGAGACCTCACGAACTTGAGTGGAGAGCGTAGGACTCCTGGTTCCCGACTTGTGCCCTTCGAGGGAAATCACTAGAAGCTCCCTATGGGCGATGAGGTTTCTCGCTCAGGCCGCCGCATCTGCGCACCGCCTTGCAACGTCACTTATGAAAGTATATGGCTCATTTAGAGTAGGTTTTGTGGGTTTATAGGAAGATGTTACACATTCTCAGCCAGAGCAGTAGGCAGTCTGCCTCCTGGCTCTTGCCAGCGCATCAAGCGCCGGAAGAGGTTCAGACATCGGCATATCTTCGTAACTCTCATGGGCTTCAATGTCGTTTCGCCGCTCTGATATCTATA